TCGCCTTGGCGTCGGTGTCCTCGCTCTTCCTCTTCTCGGTGCTGCTGTTCGTGGCGGTGCGGCTGTGCAGGAGGGACAGGGCGGCCTTGGGTGGTCGCTGCTCCGTGCCTGAGGGCCACTTTCCGGGCCACCTGGTAGACGTCAGCGGCACGGGGACCCTGTCCCAGAGCTACCAGTATGAGGTGTGTCTGACGGGAGACTCTGAGAGTAATGAATTCAAATTTTTGAAGCCTATCTTCCCCAATATTCTGGGCCAGGATTCTAGGAGAAAACCAGAATTTCCAGAATAATTAGGTATCTGAAACTTCCATACTTGCTGTAGTAGTTTTGTCTTCCTTACTTTTCGCTTTCTTTCTTGAACTCTATAGTAGTGTTTAATTCTACCCGTTTTCCTTTTTTCTCTACTGTTGTCTTTAGTACTGTTACTCTTTTTTTGTTGTTCTTGTTGGCCTGGTTGTTGCAGAATTAGCTTTCCAATTATTGTATTATTAGTAAATATTTTATATCAAGATATTTCCTATTTCTGATTAAATTTTTAGTATTCATTCCTGAAGGATAATATGAAAGGTAATCCCCCCTAATAAATGTAACTCTAATTCTAAAAGTATACTTTGTAGTATATGACGCTACATAATAATGTATGCTTTTTAAATCATACTTTATTTTTAAAATATTGGAAGTCTTTTGGTTTTTATTATTTGCACAACTCTGAGTTTTCAATAACCCTATTGAAAACTTTGGAGTGGAATCATTTCATAATTATCCATGCCTACTTTCTTCCAAGCTCCCTATTGGGATTTTCATTTTCCCAGCAGGCAGCAACATAGATAATTTCAAGCTGTTCATTTCAAGATCACAGTTGTAATCATTAACTTTCACTCTAAAATACATTTGATGTCTCTTAAAAACTTACCTGCATCATCTGTTCTTTCTCATCTAAATTAATGTAGAAAAGACTTGTGGATTCTTTCTTATGTCTAACTAAAGTTATGATCTTGTTAAGAGTGCTAGACAGGTTTACTGATACCCAGGTTAACTATGTTTAAGAAGTTTCTATAAGGCCAGTAGACTCTAGGACAAACTAATGCATTTCCTGCAATTTTCCTTTTCTACACCAGGGAAATTCTTAAGTGAGCTTTAAATTCTGGGCTTAGAGGAGCTTCTGATGTTACAGCATGCCAACATCTATCTACTTGCCTTGGGATGATAACATTGTTCTGGTTGAAAAGGAATTTGAAAGAAAATACATTGTAGAATAAAGATTAGTTAACCAAATGAAATTTATTAAAGCATAGGTTGGTGAAGGAGTTGAATGATTTAGAGAAAAAAAATCTACACTCTTGTCAGGACTCCTGTATCTCCAGGAGCTTCTCAATTTTGTAGATACTATAGAATGATGTGGTACGCAAAATAATGGCCCCCAAAGATGTCCCAATCCCAATCCCTGGAACCTATGAATATGTTATATTATATTGCAAAGAGGAATTAAAGCTCAAATGGAATTAATGTTGCCAATCATCTAAACTTAAAATAGGGAGAATAGCCTAGATAATCCAGGTGGGCCTTATTCAGTCAGTTAAAAGGCCTTAAAAGCAGAGTTGAGTCTTCCCTAAGATAGAGAAAAAATTCTGCCTGAGGTCAGCAGCATCAGCTTGTGCCCCAGAGTTCCAGCCTGCCCTTGCTAACCACCTGCCATACAGGTTTTGGACTTGCCTAGCCAGATTTCACAATCAAATAAATCACTTCCTTGCAAGAAATCTCTCAATTTACATCTGCTGGCTCTATTTCTCTGGCTGAACCCTGAGTGATATACATTTTGGTAGCTGGAAGTGGGATGCTGCTGTAACAAATACCTAAAAATGTGGAAGTAGCTTTTCAACTGGGCAAAGGGGAAAGGCTGGAAGAATTTTGAGAAGCATGATAGGAAAAGCCCAGATTGCTTTGCACAGACTGTTAGTAGAAATATGATGTTATGATGTCCTCTGCTAATAAGGACTCAGAAGGAGAGGAGGAGCATGGTGGAGAAACACATATTGCCTTAGGGAGTACCTAAATCATTTTAAACAGACTGTGTATAGAAATATGGATATTAAAGTCCCTGCTGATGAGGGTGCAGACACGAGGGAAATATTATTGGAAAGTGGAGGAAAGGGAATCCTTCTATATAGTGGCAGAAAACTTAGCTTAAATTTGAGTCCTGTCATTATGTGGAAAGAAGAATTTGTAAACAATGAACTTGGAGATTCAGCTAAGGAGATTACCAGACAAATGGTTGAAGGGACAGCCTGTTTTTTTCTTGCTGCTGGTAGTAAAATGTGAGAGGAAAAATTATGAGAGGAATTAGATTGTGGTAAGAACTGTAATGCAAAAAGGAATCAGGGCCTGATGACTGGGGAAATTATCAGCCTATTCAGATTGCAAAAGATGTTGAAATTAGGAGATTGACTTCCAGGAATGCATGTTCTAGAGAGAAAGCCAAGGGTGTAGCAGGATAACATTTTACCAGTGCCTTGAAAGGATCAGAGTAGTCAATCACATGGAAGATTCTTTGAAGAGACTAGCCATGTGACATTGATAGCTTCAGTCACCTCAGCAGAAGTCAGGAATATAGAGTGAATTATTCAGGAAAGAACTGTGAAGGAGTCTTTTACCTAATGAAGTAAACTCTGTGATATATACAGGAGACCCACAAGGTTCTTGAGAATATTGTATCAGCAGAAACCAGTTTGAACTGAAAGGGATAGTGAGAACAAATTAAATAAAGCTGTTGTACCCGCAATTTCTATAAGCAAGAAACATACTATTGACACTACTTAGCTGAAAACATGTACTACCACTAATGAAAAAGGAAGGATGGTTTAGAGGATGGAGCCAGGAGCCCGAAGAGTAGAGCTGTAAGCCATGGAAGATTAGTCTTGAAAGCAGAAGTCTCCCTGGGTGGATTGCTACATTTCTTGGTACTGGTAATTACCTTTTCACTTTGACTTTTTTACATAGTTGTCTGACTAGTTCCCAAGCTGTCTATTTAAGATGTGTGAGATGCTTGTGAGAAAAGTAGTTTTGCTTTCCCTTAGATGTTATCAATGGAGACTACTCTGAAGTACTGCAGTTGAATTTATATCTTCATTCAATTATCTCCCAATTTGGCAAACACACACAAATAATTGAATTTTCAAAGAAATCTTCATGGCTAGTAGCATCTTCAAAAGTTGAGTTTGGGAGAATAGAATGAGAAGGTGAAATGATAAATGCCAAGCATACTTTTAAATCTGCATTAATGGTGTCCTGAGCAAGATGAAATACAATGTTTATGCAGCAATCCAGAGAATATGTCTTTCTCACAGGCAGGAAAGTAGCAGAGCTAAAAATTTTACTTAGTAAATTTGTCTAAATACGGATCCTGAAAATCTTCTTAAGGAGATCAGCAATTCATGTGTTTTGGTAGATTATGGCTGGTGAAAGGATAAGAAACCAATTCTCCTCTGTGTCACACATAGCACCTGGAACAATTTTGAACATGAGTGCCAAGTCATTGTTTTCAATGAATGTAAGAATAGTGAATAAAGATTTTTGGTAACTACCAAGATAGAGACTCTTTCATCAACATAAACATAGCCATTCATTTTCCCTCCTATTTTCTCTTCCAGACATTATAGACTTCCTTTAAGATTTCTATAAGTTCCAACTTGAGTTTTATAGTATTAATCCAAGGCCATTGACCCTTTTTCCATATTTCCCCTCCTTGCTTTTATTTTCTTCCTAAACAGAGTACATAGGTATTCGTGATCGATGACAGCATTCATAAAGTGAGAGATACCTTATTCCAATAATCAGAAAGTGGAGAATTTGAATTTCTTCCAAAAATGCATTTAAATGGGGGAAATAGTTTCCTGAGAATCCCATTAACTATATTTTTTATATAATCAAAATAAGCTGCAGTATTTCTTCACTATCCTTCAAACCACTGTTGAAAATATCATCGTGGTACTTATATTTCTATTACTATAAACATGGAAATTATTCTAGAAAATTTAACTAATGCTACTACTTAAACATATATAAGATGACCCCACTTTGATGACTAAATTTTGAGAAAATATTTTCTTAAAAGTTAAAAATTTGGTCATGTTAGCAGGGGACTCACTGGATATTATGAAGTCATGATGGAGTGTTATAGTTATCCTTGGAATAATCCCCTAATTTGTTTTACAATCCTGGATGAGAACTCTGTAATGATGCATTTTCTTCACAAAAGAACAAAAGAGACATAAAGATAATGTATACTTTTGTTAACTCAATGCCTATTCCTAAAAAAAAGAGATCACTTTCCTGTAAAACCAACAGAATCTGGCACCAATATAGGAAAGAGAATGCAGAAAACTCTTTTCATATGTACGTATTTCCATCCTATTTAGGGAGATGTTTGTGTCTTTTTCCCCAAACAAATCAAAATAACATTCAATGAGAGTTTACCTTGGTGATCGTTAATGGAAATTTAACTTAGAGAGAGGCCTCGTTGCAATACTCCTTGTACATAAATTAAATATTGTCAAAACCCTACAGCCTTTATGCTGGGAAATGTAACAAAAAATAATCATTGCTGTATCAGTAGCCTGGAAATTAGTGCAGAAATTTTACTATTGGCTATGGGAACTCCCTGCTGTCGTATGCTCTCAAATGTGAGAGCAAGTCAAGAACCAAAGATATTAAAATGATCAAAAATTCCCAAATAGGCAGTCCTAGAAATGCTTCAATATTGTTTCATATAATATTTGACATAAAATAAAAAGACATATGAAATCAAGTTCTCTCTCTTTCTGATGGGAAATTTTTATCTGACAGTTGTTTAATGTCTGATCTATCCCAGGGAAATCAGACATTCCTAGTTTGGGCAGACCTAGAATGAATGTCAAAGATGTTCCTCAGCATGCTTTTTTAATAATTTTTTTTATTTCAAGGAACCTTGTGTCATTCAACTAGCCTGTCCCCTAATATTACTCCTGAAATTGTCACTATTGCTCTCAATATTCAGAATCATATTTGAGAACCATATGTTCTTCTGCATATCTCTTATATTCTGCTTTTGAATATGACTTTTAGAAATTCATACCACATGGTAACAGAAAATATACTAATCAGAAAGCTCTCTTGCAAACTTAATACCTCTGTGTTAATCTAAGTTCTTTTGATTTTAATCAACAGAAACCCAATTAAAACTAGCTCAACAGGAAAACCCCAGAATTTATTGAGAGGATATTGGGGTATGTAATATAATTTAAGATATGTTTGG